CGGCTCGGCTGGTGTGACCCCCCCCAGCAGACCAGGCTTTTCTCGCCAACACCTGGGACAGAGCAGCTGGGGCGCTGCCGGGTTGGTCCCCGCAGCGCCGCACCTCGGCACTGCGGGGACCAACCTGGCAGTGCCCCAGCTGCTCTGTCCCAGGCGTCCCTAAGTCAGCTGCTGCTGAAACTGATCAGCAGCTGATTCCAGGAAGCCCAGGGCAAAGCAGCTCTGCCTCGGGCTTCCTGTAGTCAGCCACTGGTCAGTTTCAGCAGCGGCTGAATCGGGGACACCGGGGGTACAATATGTACCAGTTCTGACTTACATACAAATTCAACTTAAGAACAAACCTACAGTCCCTATCTTGTACGTAACCCGGGGACTGCCTGTACTTGTATTCAAGCGAGTACAACAGCAACCAACCAGAACCATGAAGTACAAACACTCAAATTAACATCAGGTTCACTGAGCCCCAGTTAAAAATAAATACTCCATAGTTGGAGGATTTTTTAAATTTACCTTCTTATTTTTAAGTCTTCAGGATTCTCATGGGGAGGGGAGACATACACACTCTCCCATATACCTCTCTCACATGGAGGGGGGCGATCGACCAGAACTACCTAGCGCACTCTGCCCTCCATGTTTCTGCCTGGCACTGTCTGTTTCAAAGAGAACACATGGATAGGGGGAATGCAGGGTCAGAGCCCACACCCCCTGATTTCTGCCAAGATTCTCACCGGAACATGGCTAGCAGCAGGAGGGAAAGGATGGGAGCCATACAGTGCAGGGAGGGGAGGAGGCAGATGACCTGACCTGTGTCTTTGCAGAGCTCTCCTTCTCTTTCCCACTCCCCAAAATGGCAGGAAGCAGTTCATCCCTTCCTGCCTGCACAGTGTAGAACAGCAGCTAATACCTCCAGGTTGCTGCTGGTCTCCAACATAACCCAGCTGTCTCCTATCCCCCAGCAACAATGCTAGTAGGAAGGGGGTAAGCCCTAAGGATGCACTGTGCACCAGGGCCCAGGGAACCTGACTGCAGGGGCTTCAGTGATTCTAACCAGAGAGGTGGCTCAGCAGGACAGTGTGCCTAGGAGATGAAGCAGCCCTGCACTCTCTGGTGACAGGGCATAGAGTGGGCATGTGTGAAAAGGGTGCTAAGCCTCTGCCCTGGGGGCTGCAGTGGAGCCTGCAGCGTTGGAGCACAAACAGGCTGGAAATTGCTTCTCAGACCTCGCTCTTCCTCCCCCTTCCCCCTGCACGTGTGCGCACACACGCACAATTTCACTGAGGGACAGAGAGGCTTACCCATTGCAGTGCTATGAAGGGCTTTGGCATATGCAGTGCCCTAAGCTGGAGGGTCTTGGAACTTCCTGAGAAGGAAGGAGCCTGGTGGCCAGTTTTTGGTTAACTGAGCGCTCCAGCCAAGCACTGGTTCTCCTCAGAGCACTGGGAACGAGATACTCCCTGCTAGGGGACAGAAGCAATGAGAAGACAGTGAGAGGGGAAGCATGTAAAGGGCCAGTGGGTGGACAGCAGAGGTGAAACATAACTGACCGCTGCCTGGTGTCTGCTCACATTCTCCAGACGCTGGAAACAGGATTCTAACCAAAATGTGGGTCTCTGCTGTCAGAGCTGGCACACAGTGGGAAGTGCACTGTTGGACCAGCGGAGGGAGCAGCTGGTCCTGCAAACTGCAGCACTGCTCCACCACTGGCCTTGCACAACCACCCCCATCCCATCAACACCAGTAGTAGGCAGCAGAAAGTGCTAGTACTGAGGAGGGTCAGAAGGGACACAAAATTCAAGACAATTTTGCCTATTTTAAATAAAATTGGGACACCTTCGGGAGGGTTTCAATATGGCACTGTCTCTTTAAAAAAAAACTGGACCTCTGGTTCAAAGCCCACCAAACAAGAGCTGGAAGTCAACACAGTTGTGGTTCTGACCCCATGCAGCATTTAATGGTAATAAAATGGGATTATATTTAAGGAAGTGAGGCAAATATTTTTCACTCATGAAATTTATTCTTAATTCACTTTTTGATCAAACCAATTTTCATTTTGTTAGGCTCAGTACAGAATATCTTTCTTTCCCATTCCAACTCACCTGTACTATTGACAACAAACAACATTGAAGTACATCTATTTTTATGGTCAAATTCCACTCTTGGAGCATCATGGCAGATTTCAGCTCCAATTTCTGCTCTCCCTGACTGCATGAAATGTTC